TGAAACAAGGAGATATTGTAATAAGCGGCTATTTAAAAAGTCTTTTCAAAGACAACACATGATCGTTTTTATAATTTCCACTCAAGTACTACAATACCCCCCTGACACCAGTCTCAAAAGAACATTTCCCTGATTACAAGGTGTTTGCTGAAGAGTTCAGTGGTTATATTTTTACTATAACTGTTTCCTTTGAGCACTTTCTTTAACTATAGTCAGTCACGGAAATTTTATCCCTCTAAGAATAGAACAATATTAAAAGAAGGTTTTGGAACTAATTTGTAACAGAAAATCCAAGTTTGTTTAGCTCACGCTGGTTCTAATATCGTCCATTTTGCCAGTTGCACCATGCAGAAATAAAACTCCACGCCCTCTGGAATTTTACAACTCTGCCAACTTGCGCACAACGGTACTAACTAGCCACTAACAAAACTATAACATATCATAGATCAAGGAAGTATAACATTTTTATTTTAGTTTTAGTTCTGCTGGCTTGTGCCTAAGCCCACGCTTGACATCGTAGTCTTGGTAGAGAAGGAAGTCGATTGACTTCCTTTTCTCCTTGCTCAAATCATCTACCTCATAGAAGGAACTAAAAACGAAAAAATAGAACAATATAAGCCGCCTTCGTGTGCGTCATATGTGCCCTTCGTTTTTCGCTTGTTTTTACTGTCACCATAAGCACAATATTTGCTGCAATTTAAGCATGCCGAGAATAACTGATGTTTCAAATTTCCAGAGCTAATGGAGTCATTCCTCGCGTGGAACAGCTTTTTCTTACGTCTGTTCAGGCATACAATATTCTTAGCAATTTTGTCATATGCAAAGACGTAAAGCGTTAAAAATCGAATTCATCTTTAAATCAAAATGAGACAATTATTTCCAGCTAATGGTACTCAGTCTAAGATGTTAATGGACGCCACGCGTCGTCCCTACCGTCGGATCACGCGATCAAACGGGAGAACATTTTAATTTCGTTTGCGTCGCGTGCTCTACTTAGGTCTTTGACACTTTAAGGGTTTTACAGCGGTTACAATAAATACTTTTCATACCGTACCGTATTGCTGACACTCTGAAAAAAGCCATAATTTAATTGTGAGAAGTCAAACGGCTTTATTTGAGTGGCCGACTGATTTTAGGCCTGAATTTTTTTGTTATACACATGTAGTATCAAGATAAAAATTGGGAAGCATTAAGTAAATGTAATGAAGCATTATTTACAAGTAATGTAATGAACATAGCATTAGCGTGCGCATACGCTACCTTTTTCTGGCGCTTCACCAGGAAAATGACAACTATATGAAAAAACCTAAAAAAAGAAACGATATTGCGAGAAAAATTTCAAAGCTAAATAATAGGCGCACTGCCAATAAACTTTCTAAAAAATAGGGTTTTCTTTTCTTTTTTTTCCCTCTTAAGTGTGGAAACACTATCTGTTAGCTTTTTGTATGTCTAAAGCGACGCTTTAACCGTAATCTCGGATCACACTTGTTGAATGCTCTGTCGTCGTAAGGTTTAGTTTTTAATTTTTGTGGCCAGCAGCCGAAGCCGTGTAAAGAAATTGAATTTAACTTCAGATATGTTTCGGCCTGTTTCTTCAAGTCATCTTGAGTTGTAACTTTGAACATAAGCCAACTAATAAGCAGTGATAATAAACTGACAAAATTTTTAGCAATTTTTGGTTACTTTCAGTTGTAAGCAGAAGCACACATGCATGCAAACACGCTAACTTCTCGTTTTCATGACAAGCTCAAACATTCTCTTATGTCAATTCGTGTTTCACTGGGGCAAATATGATTTTGGTAGAGGTCATGGCTCGACATTCTTGTTCTTTATTTTTTTAAGTTGTTGTTTTTTGTTCCCCTTCTCCTCTCATTTTGCACCATGCCATGTTTTATGAGACGTATAGTTAATAACCAGCAGGCTTGCTTTTTTCGCTCTTTATTCTTCCTGAAATAATAATAATGAATAAGTTGATTAAAAGGACAACGCTTCAAGGGTCAACTTACGTGTTGTAGAGTTGGCTTGAAAGTTCGGTCGTGAACAGCAATTTTATTCCTAGCCTAAATCCTGTAATTTGAACTCAGTAAATTTAAGAGGGATTCTTGTCAGGGCCGGGAAATCTTGAATTCTTGCATCAGGTTAGCAAGGGATCCTTAAATTACTGGTTGTTTTAAATGACGAGATGTTACAAGGAAATATAACATGGAGCGAAAGCCATCTGTCAATATCAGCTATCATGTTATCGTCTCTATGATCTTAGAGCCAGCGTAAGAGAGTTTGGTTCTCCGCCCACTAAACTTATTTCTACACTAAAGCTATTTTAACATTATTCGCCTCCCAGTCTGTGAAAATCTTTTTCAGAAACCTGTCGGAAGATTATTTCAGGAAAGAGAACCTTAATATTGTTGGCTTTTTTCCCCTATAATTATTTTGTTTAGTCAGCTTGTGGTTCGACCGTTCCATGTTGATCGCTTAACAGCTTCTGTTATACTTAAGTCATACTCTGGGGAAAATTGCGAAAGCTACAACGAATAAATTTTTGCCATGGGTATACGATGTTGCAATTCAGCAAGCTAAAAGTTCGAGCTTGGAACTTAGAAGAATAAGCTTATCTGTCCCAAATTCTTTACTCTTTCAGTTGTCAACCTCTCGTCCACAGTGTGTACGTGATTTCTTCAGCTGCGGTGTAACGTCTGCAGCAGTGTAGCTCATGATTAGTACTGTTGTTTTCCTTGCTTATTACATTTCGATTGTGAACTGAACTCAGTTTTGTAAGGATGCAAGTTATATTCATAATAGAGTAGGAAGATCCAGAAGATCGGTTAATGGAATGCGCAGATGTTATGATGAATATGATTAGAACTCCCTCAGTTACCGTCATTGAGTATCAACAAATAATATGAAACTGGTAGGGTATTAAATTTTGGAAATAGTCACCGAGTGTCAAGTTCATTTTTAAGTTTTTTTTCTATCTTTGTTAAATTTTGCTGATTAGTATTAGTATTAGGATGATCTTTGGGGTATACATGAAAATCAGTTCAAAATTCAGTCGTATTTCATGCACTGCCTTACAATTTCCATGTTCTCAGTTTACTCCGCAGTGAAACTGTTTTCTCTACGTCTTGGATAGTTTTTTTTTTTTTTCTTTTTCGCAAAGCAGTGAGTGGGTTTTTGAGTCTGCTTTTCGTTATATTGGAGTTTTGGCAGAAAATTTCAGTCTGCTTGCAGAAAAGGGCAAGTCTCGCTAACTGCAGCAGTTCTCCCCTACATAGCGCTGAGGACTTCTCTTTAAAAACAGTTTTACCCCTGACTACAATCAACCTCTGTACTATTATAAGACATAGAAGAGGTCTTTGCAGTAAACCGATAGTTCATTGTCTTTAAAAATGCCGTTTCGGAAAATCAGCATGTGGTACGATCATTAATCTACATTGTAGTCAGAGCACTTAACTCCCCTCCCACCTTCCGCATATTTGATTCATTTTCCAGCTTTGGAAGGAAACGCTATAATTCTAGTTTCATTGCCGACTTACTAGATTTAGCAGGGACATTTAGCAATTTGTTTCAAGATCTTTCACGGTTGTGTCTCGCAAATTCACATAAGGGGCTACTTTGGAAGTGAAGAAATACAACACGCCATTCAAAACGTTTTGAACTTTTTTTCAAGTATGATCTGCTATCACCACGTTTACTTCACCGGCAGAATCAAAGTGGGAGAGCTTCTTCGCTGTCTGCGTTAATGATTGAGTCCGCTCTTTTTGGTTTTAGGGTCTTTAAGATCCAACGACGCAGACGACAACGAGAACATCAAACAGACAATAGGTTTTAGACGTAAATCAACAACTTTTCTCGTGCATCACGATTTTTTGTACATTACTTTGCCCGTTTTTGCACGACTACGACGTGAAACTGCCTAATTTCGCGTTTTATAGAGGACATAATCAATCAACGACGAAATTTTATTTCTCTTTTTGAGCTTGGATATGGAACCTAGGAATTCAATTCCAGGAGGGTTCGCCTACATTTGACAAAGTAATTGGGTAGGAATAATTGCGATAAAGACTGAAAGAACGCAAATTCGCTTTTTAAGCGACATTCTCGTTGCTGTCGCGTCGTTGGATCTTAAAGTCCCTAAATGTCTCAAAAAGGGGCGCAGCCCAAGATGTGACTGATGTAATTCCTAATTCAGGACTGCATCAAACACTAAATTGGAATTATAGCCTGTCCATTCAGGATACTACTGAGAAGACTTGTTATCTTTATTCCTCGTATAGTTTTTCGTCATTTTAAATGTACATTCTGTTCTATTGCACACATTCCAGGAACCTCCCGAGTCGCAAAAATTGGAGGCATATTTAGTTCATGGACCTTATAGTGAATCAACTTATTTAATAGGCAAAATAATTAGACCGAAACACAACAAGACATTTATGCCCACAATTTGCTTTTTTATTTTCTTATTGCGTGGGTGTGTGGCTTTTAAAGGTGAATAAACTTTAATAAAAATACTCGTGGGAAGTTGGATCCTAGATCTTTCCTTTCAATAGTCAAAAGTCAATTCCTTCCATCAGCATACGCAGTCGTTCGTTTTTTCCTGACAGCTTAACCATTTCAGCCACGCAAATTTGGAGATAAGAATTAATAAAACTCTGAATAAAGGAAACCGCTGAGAGGCAACGGTATTTTTGAACACAAGTAACAAGAAATTGTTAACGGAAAAGTTTTACGTGGTGCGCAAATTACCGGCAAGAGAACGTTATGTTAATTTGTAGCAACGTTTGTGTTACTGTAAGTTCTAAAATTTAAAAAGCGACGAGCGGCTAAAAACTAGAAGAGTATTGAAAAGCTGAGTAACAAAACCCCATTTTCTAAACTCCCTAAAGAATAATTCAAGCTTGAAGTGTAAGCATTTGATTTCCCCCTCTGGAAAAGTATACGTGTATTTATTTACACTTTTTCAGCAAAAAAAAAAAAAAGTCAGAAACCCACCCAAAACAACCATGTCAAATGTAATATTTACTGCAGCTGTAAGAATATTAGCAAAACAAGAGGTATACGGTGGGTTAGTGGGTGGAATAGCATTTCGTGCAATAACTTCCGTTTTCAAGGCAGGTTAAACTAAGTTCAATATCAGCTTTGAACACAGCTGGGTTAATCCAGGCTTGCTTTATTATGGACCATGACTTTGCAGTTTTGTTTGGAATAGCGGAAGTTATAGCATTTCAGTTTCTCTAGCTATGAGCTGTTTTGTTTCTTTACTGGCTCAAGAAAAAACTAAAAACCAATATGGTTTCTTTCGACTAGGTTATATATCTTGAAGAAATCCTGTCATCGGAAGTAGTTTTTGCATCAACGCAATATCAATAAATACTTTCAGTTTTTAGCTTTTACGTTTATTTATTTAGCTACTGATATTTATTTCAGGCTTTAATTCACATGAAATAGTTCCATAATTAGGAGTTTGTTCGTTGTTTAGCAAAAATTCGACTTTGTTATTCTCACCACTAGAAGGCGTAGTGTTTACGTGTTTCAAATATAGGGCCAACATATGTTTTAAGACTAATTTGTTTGACACTTATTGTGTTGAACCTGTGTTTACAACTTTATAACCTTAGAAGCACGTTTCAAGGCTGTCTGTACCACTTTCTAAAAATTTGTAACGATACAATTAAAGGAAAGGAATGCCGTAGCAATTTGTGTTACCAAAGTTAGCAGCCTAATTATCAGAGCATACTTTTAAAAATAACCATCATGTTTTTACTAAAGCCAAAATTGCTATTAAAATAGGCTTTTGTGTATCAGATGTATGGTGACGTTTAAAAATCTGGCAAAGAAAGCATCGTCAATTTGGAATGTCCTCGAAGTTGCTTCGCTTTTGACAGCGTAGCTTGCCTTCTTTAACATAAAGCGAGAGTTATCTACTTTAAGGCTAGAAAGTTCGAGTAGTTGGAATGAAATCTGTTACAACTCTTGTTCCGGGTCGATGCGTCGGGTTGTCGCTTTTAACAACTACCAAATTCTTTTTCAGCTCAGCTTCTTTTTCACCGAGACATCATGGAGAATGTAGAAACTACGAAACTAAGACAGCGACAAAACAACGAGAAGGTTAAAAAGACGATAGATATAGTGGGCAGAAATACATCTCTGCAGGTGTATCAGAATAATTTTCTTTACATTTCTTTGTCGTGTTCAGTCAACTACGACGTGAAAGGACCAAATTTTGAGTTGTGTGAGAAAGTGTATCTATCTGAGCTAGGACGCGCCCCCTCCCTCCAGCACTTACGTTATTTACAACTTTATTAAACTGAACTAGTTGAAATAATCGCAAAATATCGTAAAATTCCGAAAATAAGCCCCGGGGCTTATATTTTTCAAGGGCCCTTTTTGATGGGCTTATTTTTGAAGGGGCTTGTATTCGGAGGGGCTTATCTACGAAGGGAAATTTGCGTTTCAAAATCGATTGGGCAAGCCTTATAGTAGGAAGGAAATTTACCGTTTTTGCTTTGTTTTTCTTTGTATTTGAGGGCAATTTTCCGCGTACAAGCCCCTGGGGGGCTTATATTTGGAGGGGCGATTTAACGAAGAGTTTTTTGCGTTACTGGTTTGGGGGGCTTATATTTGGAGAGGCTTTTACACGGAGGGGTTTATTTTCGGAATTTTACGGTAGTTTTAAAGAAAGGACGTGAAGTCCGTTTTTCAGTGAAATTTTTCTTGACGTTAAACTCTTGTCGGATCTACTGTCCCTAGTGGGGCAGGTGCCTCCCACCGACAAAAATGGTCATTCGAAATAGGGGTCAACCGATAGACCTTTTTACGGTTTTTTATAAGGACCAGTTATGGAAAATCCATCGACAACACTCCAAAGAGCGCCTTAAAATTAGTAATTCTGCCAAATTTTAAAGTGATACGTCTCTAGCGAGCGAAGATATGGCTCCTCAAGTTAATTGCGAAAATTTGCAGAGGTTTGTATGGTGGGGTGGCGAAAAGTTTGTGCCCCCCCCGTACAAACGTCTGTCAAATTTCGCGACTTTGAGGAGCTGTATCTTTGTAAGATTTCAACAAATCACTTTCAAACTTTGAAATCTTACTAATTTTAAGGCGCCCTTTTCAGTGGTGTCGACGGAATTTCCCGAACTCGTCCATGTCAAAAGTGGAAAAAAAAATCGTGAAAAGGTCTATTGTTTGTCGCAAGCACGTTCCCTACGCTTAACTTATGACGTAGTATTAAATTAATTTCGAGGCATCTGTTTCTGTTCGCAAAATTCATTTAAGCTGATGTGAGGCTCTGGTTCTCAATTGAATCCGACAAAATGTGTCTCGCTTCCTATTATTTCATCATTAAGAACCTAACTGTAACTATTATAAAAAATATTATCTTCACATTTTTTTGCGGGGAATGACGCACGTTACTTTACAAACATGTTTGGTGCATGCGAACAAAATCTTATTGATGTGCTGGTTTGCGTTCCATATTGTGTTTCCACCGGCCATGCCATTTGTATTCTGTCTGGATTACGATATGAAGCTGTATTGTCCCCCATTTTTGCTCAGAGATAGTAGAGCGTGCCTTTTCTCGCGTGGGGTGATTTTCACGCGAGCTCGCGTTTCGCACGCTCTACTATCTCTGAGGAAAAATGGGGGACTACTCGTAGTCTATGTTATGTGGTAAAGGCTCACTAAAGAGTTGTCGCCTCCAAGTCTCCGTTTTATTAAAAATGATCATATTCAAGACTGCTATCTGTTAGCCACGCTCTCGAACCTCCCAATTTTCTCCTATTCCCCTCTAAGTGGGAACTGCGTGGCAGTTCAGCGAAAGGAAATCACTTTCTTTCGCTGAACTGCCACGCAGTGAAAACACTCATTGGGCTCCATTTTGACTAGATGGTTTTCTTTTGGAGCAAGGGCTACTAATTGTTTGGCAGGAATTGGCAAAGCTGCAAATGATTTAATACTTAATATTTTTTTTATTATTATTGTTATTATTATTATTATTATTTTGTCACAGAAGAAGAAGAGCCAGGTTAACGGACGCAACTGGGTTATTTTCTCGATGATTAAGCATAGTTTGTAGGATCCTGGGCTCCCAAAGGGGCTGGATGCAAGTAAACAGCGTAAATTTAGAAAATAATCTGAAAGAACGAAGAAAGTCAGTAAACGTTTCCTCCGGCGTTCTCGTCAGGTATTTTGAGACAATTTTATCTTGTGGTATGTCATTTATAGATAATTTCGTCTCTCGCTCCATTTCTTTTCATGAAAAGTCATATTGTTTTTTTTTAATGATCAATTTTTCCCTAAGGCTCTGGACACCCTTAAACTTAGGATCTACGTGAGAACCTGTCATTAATATCGACAGTCCCAGGCAGCATTAACGCACTTGGGAAAAAGACTACACCATCTGAATCTTAGAAATCAGCTCAGCTGAAAAAGATCCGTTAAGTCAAAGAGGATCAAAAGAGGCCTTGGACGCGAAAATTACTGATAACACTGGACAAAGTCTGCAATCGACAATAATCACTCTCGTTGGACTTTGATTAACGACGATCCTCCCCTCAACCGGTCTGTCCTCTAAGTTTTAAAAGAGTAAACCATTGTTTGTTGTTAAGGTGTGTCCAGGGTGGTACTGAGAATATGAAAGGCAAGCAAATAAAAATAACAACACATTTTACACGGCAAAGAATTCTTTGTTCTACCTTGTCTGTGGTATGACCATTGTATGTAGTTTTGCCTTCCTTTTTCTTTTTTGCCTTCTGATGGAATAACGCCTACGTGGATACAAACATGACGCGTTACCAGGAATTTTTGATTGGGGGGGTCCAGAAAGGACTGTTGAACTTTTTATTGGCAAATTACTTCTCACGGAGACGACCATTGGCAAATTAGGGAGCTTCTCACGGAGACGACCATTTTAAAGCACCTTGACGCTCCCAAATTTGTTTTCTAAGTCTTAATCTTATAGAACGCCGATGGGCAAAACCGCTGTCCAAAAATGAAAAAAGACCACTTCCGGTTGACGTGCGTCGCTCAAAAACGTCTCTGCTTAAGTTCACCACTGTTTTGCGAGCGGAGGCGAACAGATCATAGGAGGGTACCCAGAACCAATGACATTTTTGAATATCCCTGGAATTTAGTTTAGTGGCAAAATCCAACGCGCGTTTCATTAAACAAACCAGCCAGTTAAAAAGTGGTATACGATCCTGTCGATGTAAAAATTTCAGTCTGAAACAAGCGTGAGGTCTGATGGGGGAGGGGTCCAGACCCCCCGGACCCTCCCCCTGGATCCGCCATGCACTGGTTACAGGTTGTCTTAAATTGAGCGGTCGTCTCTTGATGTCTGACTGATCTGTTCGACAACTGCACTCCTAGAACTCTCCATTAGAACGGAGAAGGCGTAGGATAAGCCTCTGAAGACGAGTCCATGGCCGGCATAGGAGAAATGTTCTCATCATTAATTTCACTTCAGAACTGTTCTTCCTCTTACACACCCGAGCGTGATGTAACGTAAGGCACTCGGAGAGGCAGTGACCAAGAGGAGAGCCTTTCTGACGCTCTGACTGAAGGCTTCCTTTTCCTTGGAACATCTTTCACCCGCTGCCTGGGAAAGGTTCCAGGACTTAAAGCCAACATGTGCAAGGGGCTTCTGAATAGGTCCATCTTTGGGGAGACTAACTACCTGTAGCATTGAGTAGCCCCTAGTATGGTGGATGAAGGTACGGAAGGTCGAAGACCGAAGCTGTCTGGCTTAGAAACTGGTGCATCCATCATACCCTCCCGATGTCTCTATGACGCCTAACAAAACCGCCCGATTGCTGGTCAGGCCTTAGGATCTTTTAAACATTTTCCGTTTCCGCATGCAAGAGACGTTTTATGACCCTAATGCTGATTTCGCTTGGGCGAGTGGGTCTTAGTTTCCTCGCAGTTGGAGATGTACTCAGCCCGGCATAGTAAATCGAACGTTCGAAAATCGAACTCAGTCGAACTCAATCGAACTCAATCCGTGGATTGAGTTCGATTGAGTTCGGCAATCGAACGAAATCGAACACCACACTTTCAGTGAGTTCGATTTCCGAACAAATCGAATTCAATCGCACAAATCGAACTCAATCGAACTCAATCCGTCTGATTGTGTTCGATTGAGTTCGGAAACCGAACACAATTAAATGGATTTCGTTCGATTGGCTCTGGTGAACCTATACAAAGCAAGCCCAAAGCAAGCCCGTCAAAGCAAGTTTTTCTTACGCTTTTTTTACTATTTTACTAAAGGTGAAAAGTATGCATAAGTTTTGCTTCCCCTGTTTTTCAGAAGGGTTGCACAATATTAACTACTTGAGGCAAATTAATATATTCGCGAATCCCTTACAAACATCTTCACTTACCAAGTTATCGAAGTATTTACAGGTCACAGGGAAGCAACCAGTTCACGTTGAAGGTGACCTAATGTCCGCGCTCGTTTGCAATTCGGAAGGCATGACCTTTCTCGCCTATTTTCTTTAAAACCCTGAAAACTTCGCCATCCTTGACGTCAAAGCGGCATTCCTGGTAGCCTTTGACTATACATTTGAAGCTTACGATCCACAACGCATCTGAAGCCATTTCTGCGGAATTTCTTCGTTTACGAAAAACACGTGCGCTACACTCAGGGCTGAAGTAACTCGAGCTTCTAAGATCTGGTAATGGATTTTCAACGTCTGTTTTACATAAATCACGAGTTCGAAAATCGACCGTTCGATTGGGTTCGATTGATTTTTTTTCTTTTCGGTGAGTTCGATTTCGTTCGATTGCCGAACTCAATCGAACTCAATCCACCGATTGAGTTCGATTGAGTTCGATTTACTATGCCGGGACTCAGATGGTCATAACTCCGAAGGCTTCAGTTTCAATTCATTTATTTGCCAGAAATAAATTCGTGGGTTTGATTAAGATTTCAGCAACGTATACTTTTCATTAATAAGTGTGCAGACCTCCTCTAGAAATTTAGCGTTGTAATAAACAACGAATAGACAAATCAGTTATAATTAGCCCAAAGGGCCATGGAAAGGGCGGTCTCCTTCGCAGCCGTTATTAGGGTCGTCACTCGTCACGCAACGCTCCTCCCCACTGTTGGACTATGGAAAGGACAAAGCCCCCCAAAATAGGCCTGCCGCATCTGCTTCCCATATTTTCTTGCGCATATCTTAAATTGGTTCCCAAGCTCTAAAAGAATGAAAGCTTTTACCACATCGCACCTGGGTTCAAGGCAGTATTTAGCCTGTTCCTGGCTCCGAGATAGTCGGGCCCGCTGAATTAAGAAAGCGCGAAGACGAAAATAAAACGAAAGGAAACTGCCAACGTTTCGCGTGCCTTTGACTTTCGCGTCTTCCCCACTATCTGAGAGCCTGAAACAGGTTAGGCAGTATAGTGAGATGTACGATATGACATCTGGAAAATTCGGGTGGGAGTGTCAGGCATGCTTCATGAAATCTTTACTCTAGTTTGGACAAAAATTTGTGATTTTTCCCAGCTTAATTTCGGACCTGAACTAATGTTTTCAAGAGAAGAATGAAAGAACTCCAATGCCAAGCCCTAGTCCTAGAGAGTACAAAAACCTCCCTATTTCAGATTTCAGCCCCAAAACAATGGAATTCAATTTCCAATGAGACCCATTGCAATTTCCACCCTTCGGCCCCTCACATACCAACATTGCTTATTTAACGAGTACCTTCTCGGGATTGCACTCAGTGTAAGAAGTTCACGCATAATCGGATTAGCGGGAACGCCCGTTAGATCTTCCGGAGATATAAAATGTGAAATATCTTTCAGACGACGTTAAGGGGCTTCTCCTTTTCTATAAAACGAACATGTAGCTTCCATGGTTAAAAGCAATGGTTTTTAAAAAGGTTCTTACTATCGCAAAATCTTCATTTAGGTTTATAGAAACAAAATAAAACCTTCCTTTCAGAGATGCTGGAAAATAAATTAAGCAGGGTTGTCCTAAAACATCGTTAAGCTAAAATGAATTAGAAGATAATCACAGTAAAACGAGATCGTGTAACCATTCGAAATGGTTTAACGAACGCGGCATTACTTGGACAGCAGGTTTTACAAATCTTTCGAGGAATGTTGACGATGTTTTGCAGTGCTTGCCGAAATCATTTAATTCAGTTAAATGTTTTTCTAAAAAAGTGGCGAATTACAGAAAATCGAGTGCGTCAGTCTTAGTTAATGAATCCACCAAATTGCGAAGACTATTACATCATGCTGGCTGAAATGAAAGACCATAAAGAAATTAATGGCGTATGATAAGACAAGTTTTTAGAGCAATTTAGATTAATTAAGGCCAGAGGCGTATTCCCCTTTAAACTACACTGCCTTTCTGTTAAGCCTCTGTTTAGGTAGGGGGGGGGGGGGGGGGTTGGGGAGGAACTCCGCGAGTTTTATATGGCGAGGCTCCACCCCGAAGCCCAAATCCTTACCCTTTTATATACCATTTTTAACAGAAAAGGTAGCCCTTTCGATTGCCTTAACTTCTATTGACAAATGGTATCCCTTTCACATGCCTAGTTTAGAAAAAATCTGCCAACCATAAAGTTTTCTTGTCTTTTACTGAGACACAAGATGTGTCTGTTTGTCGTTTTAGGTCCTTTTAGATACATGAACTAGTGAAATCCCCAACCTTTCTTTTACCTAAAGCGTGAAAAGGTACCCCTTTCGGGCGGGGCCTCCCTGTATATGCCATTATAGGGAGTACCCCAGCCCCCCGCCCCTCCCCCGCGCCAGGAGCCTTTACCACTATCACTATCTTTTGCACAGTTTCCTAATGAATGTCACGCCGTAGTCATTAACGTGGTCTTAAGTCCCCTGGAGAGACCCATGGGCAACCCATGATACCGCAAAAGCTTTGAAGTCCCGGCCGAAGTATAATTGCTGCCGGATAAGCAGGACGTGCCTGTATCAAAATTCTCATTTCAGTGGCTCAGATGATGGCTACCAACTTGATACCGAGATGTAGAAAGAAAGATGATTTTCACACATTTCATACTCAACGGTGAGTTTTAAAGTTTGTCCCCTTTCGAGCATTGTTCAGTGTTGATCAGTGCAAGTGATGTTCAGTGATTACTGAAGGAATAGCTAAGGTGTTCCGATACTAGCTGATCTATAACTCGCTACGTATGTCGGCCTTTAAAAGGCATAAAGTGTATCGGGCATCTGAACTGCGATGCACTGACTGTGATTAAGTAGTTCACAGACACTGTATGCAAACGGTTATTCATGCATCATTGTGAACAATAACAAATTTTTGGCACTGTAAGTGTTAGAAGGTTCTTTGAAACATTCTATCAGTCCACTCGTTAATGACTTCAATTGCATAAGATGCAGTTATTGTCGGTGTTTCGTTTGTGTTCTTCGCTCAAGGAAATCCTTATTTTTCCATGCAACGAGCTCCTTTTCTGTTGTCTCTCGCAGGTATTTTTTATAACAAAAATTGTGAAACTGCGACCGTCCTTGGCTTGTTCGCCATTGTTTGGTAAAGGTTAACAAGTCATTCATACATCATCTATACTTAATTTGGATTTGTTTACTTTGCTGTGCTAGGATAGATTTTTTATTCTCTCTCGGGAGATTTTTCCACGGTCACAATTATGAAGTTGTAACTCACCTAGGCTTATTCGCTTGATAGTTACTTGGTAAAGGTCAATAAGTCAGGCATACATAGTCTTCCTTATCTGGATTTGTTTCCTTTGGTGTTGCTTATTTACATAAATACTATATTTAAGTTTGCATATGCATTGAATAAGAAAGCCCCTGCAAGGATTTCCGCTTGATTCCTTAGGTTCTATCTTACAAATCAGCCGGGGAAATCGCATCAGATAGAGACAAGATTTATTTTCAGTCTGTTTAATTCTTGGCTCAAACCTTTTTGGTCCTAAGGGGTCCTTTGTATTTTTCCAGGAGTACTTTCAGATTAAATTAGATGTGTTTAATAGCACTGTTCAAATAACATACGTGATACTTTTGTCGACAAAAGTATTGTGATCATTTTTTTTTTTTTGCAGAAAGCTAATTCGTATATAGCCTACCAATTTGAAAGTTACAAACAATGTTCCTCGCAAAATTTTAAATCCAGTTCGAGTTCTTCAGTCTTTGTGGCTATAAGTATACTATCCATGACATGGATTCCGAAAAAAATAATTTTCATCGTCTCTCATAATGGCCCATGTTATCTTTCGTTCAGTCTTAATTCTCGTTGATTGAGGCGACTGATTAGGGCTATTACCTTGCTAAATGGTGTTTTTCAAGGATGAAGTTTCGTCGTTAAATCGGCATGTCTTTGGCGGTTTCCTGAAATTAAGTGTAAAATACTAGCAATTAATTCGATGAAAGACATAGTGGTCTACCTGGTAGGTCAATTAGCTACCGAACAAAACGACATTTTGCCGACAAAACCTGAAACTATAACTGCATACTTTTAGCTCCCTCGGTGCGGAGGAAGGAGTGTGTCTGGCTTGGGACCATTTTAGAGGTAGTGAAGGGTGAGAACTGAGCTGAAGTCAATTTTCATGGTTGCTTTGGAAATACAATTGAGGAAATACAGTAATCTAACAAGCAGCCAGCGAAAACAGCAGACTCTCCTCGTTCCTCGCCGCTGGAGACGTTTCGCGAGCAGGAATCGAACGTCTGCGACTCAGAGACAGAAATTCCATACTAATGACGTAAATCAATGTTTACATAACAAAATCCGGTAGTCATGGGGTTTCAAATGCAACTTTGTTCAATTATACGTTTCTCCTGGTCGATTTTGGTAAAGTGTTGTGTTCACCTGCGAACAAGCTCCAGCAAAACTCAAATGCTTCTTCTAGAGAAGAATATATTCCAGAAATATTGTCTGTTTTGTTATCATCGCGTTTACATTTGACCTTTGTAGCCTTTTGTCTTTTGTAAAGAATAGCTAAAACACCGTAACTACTCCGTTGTCCAATCAGCGCTTGTGACCGGATTCCAGACAGATTTTACGTCATCAGTATGGAATTTCTGTTGCTCCTCCTCGCGAAACGTCCCCAGCGGCGGTGAGGGAGGCGAAACGGTTATTTTTGCAGGCTATCGAACAAGGATTTGAACGGTAAAGAATTGAAGGGCGTCTGGAGCGTTACTCGCTAATTCCTTTCGTTTAGTTTTTGTTTCCGCGAAGGGCTATTATCACTAGCCTTCGAAAACAGCCCTCTCTCTTCGCTTCTGGCCTCGTTTTCCCTCCTGACGAAACTTCTCTTTGCGGCGAGAAGAAAGGAGAGACTGCGACTGTTTTCGCAGGCTATTTTTCCACCAGTGTGAACGCAAATCTTTTGGACACACTGCCAGCGTTTTTTATGTTAAAGGCAAAGATTCTTCTCACAATCATCTCGCCATTTCGTAAGCTTTAGAAAGGAGCATGTCGTTTTCTGCTTTAATTTGATTTTCATGTTACCAGAGACATGCCTGACGTTATTCATTGACAATCATTTTACCTTATTAACAGCGCCTTGCTTATTTGCGCATTTTTCATTTGCTTGTTTTTTTCCAAGTGCTGAGAGCCGAACAGCATCGTCGTCTGCTTGCCTAATATCGGTAGTGTGAAAGGTTACTTAGATCATTTAAATATGCAAACTCCCTTAATGAGGATACTCAATACGATTCAGTTTCAAGTCGCCTGAAGATCCAGAAGATCTCTATACCGTTACCGTCAGCTTAACAAATACCACTTGTTAGTCGAGAGTGAGGTCATTACAGTTATAACAGGAAATTTCTAGACCGAGGCCTCTATGTATTGTCCTGGCGATAGCGCCGTCAATACGTCAAGGCCGAGTTGTACTCTTGTGACACTGGTCAGCGGATACCTTTTTTGACAGCTCTCAATTAACATGGACGTCCACTATCAAGTCAAACACAGATTGTGTATGCCTTGGACATCTGGCTATTAATGCCCGGTCATCACAAGAAAATGTTGCCCGCTTAGCAGCCAATCAGAGCGAGCGTACTTTTGTAGCCATGTGATAATAATTATTATCTTATTATTCATTCAAAATATTTATCCGTTTCTGATTGGCTAAAATTCCACGCATAATCAGCTACTGTCGACCAAATTTGGAAGAATTTTCCGATGTGTGAAAAATGACGTCAATTGTGCGGCATAATTGCCAGAAAACTGAACAGTTAACCAAGAAAACCCGGGGACGAGGTTGAGTTGTTTTGGCAGTGAGTACAAAATGGCGGAACATTTCACTCGTTTCACGAGGAAGAAATAGGCGAACTATTGGCTAAAAACATAGCCACAACAGCAAGGAGACAACTCGAAGGACGACATCTGCTGTTTGGGGAATATTTACAGTACTGAACAACCCTTTATCTCCTAAACGAGGCGATAAACAGACAATTGAAGATGAACTTAACATCGATGGAGGTAAGAATGTTTTAGCTTGTTTTTAAAGTAGGAATGATTTTGAATGAGTAATAAATCAATTATTGAATTCGGCTTTCGCATCATCTATACAATTATGGGGATCTCAGAAGGTGTTATCCCCCGATAACACCCTACTTCTCCTTATAATTCTCCAGCTGATACTCAGCCTCATCCAGGAATTGTTAATAATTTTATATGATGTGAAAATATGACCCGTCAAGTAACAGAAATGTGTAAATTCAAAAATGTATCCTAAGGGACTTCAGTCCTTTTAAGAGAAAAACCTAGCAGCAAATTGTTTGGCATTTTTAGGTTAATTATTATTAATAGCTGGTGAAGTAACAAAGGTTCAAGTCTCAGTATTTCACGATTGCACAACTTTGCACCAATTGACCAATCAAAAGCAATGTTGACTTTCTTACACACCAGTTATCTCGCGTTTGGTGCGCATGCTCTGACTATATTCTTTTGGTGCAAGATCTGATTGGCTCATGTACGCGTGCGCTTTGATTGGCCAAAAAATAAGTTAGGTTTTGGTTTGAAACTACAATAGTTCATACAGTTTACAAGTTACTTTCTCTTTATACTAATCATATCATAGGAAATCTTCCAAAGCAAACAAAGCTCTGGTCAAGAGAAAGTAAGGACTGCAGCTGTAAGAGATATTTACTGTTCCTTTACCGCGAAAAGACAATCAACAACAACAAATTGAGATTAAACAACATCGTCTGCCCAGAAAATAGCCATTCCTAAGAAGATAAATAAAGCTTCAACAACAACAAATTGAGATTAGACAACATCATCTGCCCAGAGAATAACCATTCCTAAGAAGATAAATAAAGCTTTGATGCTTTAACCAGGAAAGTAGTAGATTCGTTCCTGTTTACCATCTTATATTTGGGGATATTCAACATGTCACGAGTTAAGAGAGGCCCGACGATACAAACCAGTCGGATTTTGCTTTTAAACCACACCAGGCGGGCATGGTTTTTAGTGGTTTAAGGCTGCAGTAATAGTCCGAAGCTACCACTTTGTTTTAGATTGTTCCAGAGACGAATGTTAAATTTTCTGTAGAAATAGTGTTGTCTTTTTCACATTTATTTTCGTAGCCATTCCTATTATTGCTTGTCTTGTACCGAAAACTGCTAACACTTATTTTAAAGTGCAGTTTTCGAATATCGCTTGCGCATGGAAACACTGATGATAAAACAATTCCCTTAAAGCGATACCGTGATGAAGGTCAAATGTAATATTACTTTATTTTTGAAATAAGTTTTTACTTAGTTTCCAATATACTGGCCCTTACAGGGCAATAAATCTCCAACACAACACTGAGACAACGGATCTTTCGAACTTGTCAGGCTAATGTTTAACGCAGTAATATTGGATAAATGCCTAATAATAATAATAATAATCATAATCATAATCATAATCATAATGTGATAGCCTTTTTAACGCAAAGAGTGGAGAAAAGTAACGGGAAAAATAATTTAAAGTAAACGTAACTGTAAGCCTTCTCTCTTCTTCAGTCTTAATCGAATGGGAAGCAAGATATTAGTAATAAGCAGTTTGTAAACTTTTGTCCAACAAGATCTGAAAATCTGTCATTTATAATTT